ACAACGCTCTCTGGGGTGCCAGAAACTCCACAAATTATTTTCATTCGAAAATACAAAATCTGCAAAGTCATAAATATCCGAAATGAAAACTATTCGAAATTAACAATATTTAAAATTAATTATAGTCAAAAGAATAAAATGAAACAGACGAAAATTTATTTATGAAATCTGGTCGAAGTAACACTAGTCAAAGAGCGATATATACGAATGATAAATTGTTCGAAAGTTCATGGTGTTACCATATTTATGACTTTGTAGATTTTGTATTTTCGAATGAAAAAAATTTGAGTAGAGTTTCTGGCACCCGCTCTCTGTATATTAATAAATATAGAATTAAATATAAAAAGATGGTTGCAATAAATGATAGCGGGAAAAACCCAGTAAGATTTAAAATATATGTATTTTATTTGTAAAAGTATCAGTAAGAAAAAATAAGAATCTTTAAAATATTGTAAACCTTTCGATTTTAAATTCTATTGTTAAGTATGGGAAATTTTCTATCATAAATTTTAGGGTATAGACGAATTTATAATTACCAGAAATTCTCAAGGAAAAACTTATAAAAACTTTTAGTACTATTCAGTTAGTTTAGACATGCTAAGAAAAATCTCTTTGTTTAAATAAACCTACGTTAATTGTAATGGTCACTTAGGATAAGATGCCGAACGTTTTGGAATACTCTTTATAATGCTGGGAAAAACCCGGAGATCCTTTTTTTTTTACTCTTTTTATTGCCATAATCCTTTAAGTAACTTATTTTCCAAAACGTTCGCTTAGAAAAGGGATTGCTCGAATACTCAAGACTAGGTCATAAAAACGAGGCATCCATGCGGGTTGCACATAGCCTGGGTATGTCGACTCGCCGTGACGTCATCACGGCATAGTCATAGTCCCATTTTTTGCCAACTCGAGAAGGGATGCTGGCTGAGGACAGGAGTCGCAAAGGCGCGCGCAACTACCCTCACTACCCTCTGGGACTCTCCCACTCCAAAGATACGAACATCTCAACCAGGGGAGTCGGACAACGAAAAACAAGAAGATACTTATCAATAAGCAAGACTTAAGTACGCCACGCGAATATTTTCTTTTTCGGAATTATTGTCGGTACTTTTTATTTTGTAATTTATTGAATAATAAATAATAGATTTGCGCGCAAGGCAGATCTAAATTAAACTAAAATAATCCGAGTATTTTAAATTTATTATATATATTATTTAATTCAACTTATTCGAATTTAAATCTACTCTCCCGCCTTAATCTATTTACTGCGAGTTGAACGCCCTACCGCGTTCCAACGGGCGAATTAAAAGAACTCAATAAGGTAGTTTTCCAACTACAGCACTAGAGCGCATAATGCGGCATTGTGCGCAGCTTAGAGTGTTCCAAAATAACAGCAACGCTTCGCACAGTTGGACACTCAAAAAACCTTTGCTCAGGGATGTTATGCGTGAGAGTTACCAACGAGTCTACATAAAATTAAAAGTATTTTTTTTGTATTGAGTTGGTATAATTAATGTTTATTTTATTATCTATCAAAGTTATTATTTTTGACAATTGTAAGTGTATTTTATTATTGTTGATAAATAATTATTATTGCAATAAAATTAAATATATACAATAACACAAATTATATTTAACTATCATATTTTTATATCTAATATTTAATTATTGATGACTAACTTAAGCGAATTTATATTCTTTCTGTTCTTTTATCTTTATAAAATGAAATCATTTTTTAGATTTTTATATTTGTAAGCATTGTCATGATATGATTTTGAATTAGCTGTTTAGCATGAATGTTTTCAAAGATTTTAAAGATTTAAATATACAGGTAAACAAATATTTAGATTTTTAGATTGCCAAACTTTCGAATTTTTGTTCAAAACGAAGCAATACCAACGCGATCTACTGCTGCATTTCTTAACTAATCTGTTTCAATCAAACTTTAAACTTGTGCTAATGCGGCAACGTGCGGCAATGAGTCGCATTGTGCTCTCGTAATTGGAAAACTACCTAAATTTACTATAACCAATTTTGGACTATACAACACATGACTGTACACTATAGACAAGTGTACTATTAAAATTTTGACCTATAAATTTTTATTTATCACATAAAATTTATGATAAAATATATTTTGCATTGTTATTCAACTATACAGCATTAATAAAAATTTCTGGAAACAATATGGCAGCATTTTTCAGTCAATCAGCAGAGGTAAAGTTAAATAATTAAAATTAACCTTCATTTTTCAGGTCTTTTAATTAATTAGTTAATTAACTAGTTTCAATACAGTTGATTTATAATCAGTTTTTTCTTTTTTCTTATTTTTCTGTAGCAAGCGTATGATGAAGACGACGAATTCAGTGGCAAGAAGAGAAAAATAATCATCCATTCGGATGACAGTGACAACGATGAAAGTACGTTGCTTTTTATTTTACCAAACAATAAATTATTCTGTTAATATTTTAAACTATTTCAATTATGTTTGAAAATTCATTTAGCATATATTTAATAATTTTTTTAACAAATAAATTATGGCAAAAACAAAATTGAAATATAGAAATTTATAAAAATAAATAATGCAATTTTTTAAAAAAATTTACTTGTTAAAAAAAGATTAAGTGGCTGATAACTTTAATGTCATAACGAATTGTTAAAGTTTTGTTATTTTAACATTTTTGAACAAACATTTCTACTTAGCAATAATTCTTTTAAAAAAAATTCGATATCTGTTATTATTTTCAATTTTAATTTCGAATTCTACTATGTAGTTTGTTAAAAGTTGAAAATTATTTTTCAGATTCAGACGATAAAAGTTTAAAAAGTGGAAATGCGGAAAGTGACGATGATAATAATTTTGACGACTGTCTAGAGGACGAAGACTATGATTTATTAGAAGAAAATTTGGGTGTACCCATTCAAAGAAGACGTTTCAAACGTTTAAAACGGATGCCCATTAATGCATCTGACGATGAAGAAGAAGAAGAAGAAGATGCGGAGGCTACGAAACAAGATATTGCTACTGGCTTATTCAATGGTGGTGATAACGTAAGTTTTTTATTTGCTTAAAACCATTAAAACTACAAAAATGATTTGAAATTAATGATTCAATTTTTAGGTGAATGATGGACGTAGTTCAAGTGTCGAGTCTGATCACCAAGTATTTGATCTCGACAACAGTAATGATGAAGCTTCGTCAGACGAAAATGATTTTATAGTTGACAACAATGATAGACCTTTGCCAAAAAGAAAAAGATATTCTGGCGCTGACTCTGCTTTAAATGACGCACGAGAAATTTTCGGAATAAATTATGACTTCAATGAGTTTAACAATCAGCGTGATGAAGACACTTACGAAGAAGAAGATGAAGACGAGGAAGATACTGGAGGTGTATCTGGACGCGGTAGTCTTCCATCTAGGCGACAAAAAAAGAAACAAAAAAAAAGTTCTGCAAGGAACAGTACTGATATTTTTCATGTTTATGAACCAGCTGAACTACAGCAAGCACATTACACGGATTTAGATCACCAAATTCGAAGCACAGACATCCCAGAGA